AATAAAACTCTCAAGTCATATCTCTACTCGGTAATAAATTTTATACAAAGTATGACATCAAAGAAATAAAGAGTGAAAGGATTTTTGTGTGAGGGTGTAGTTTCAGAGACCTTGTATGAGACATTCAACAAAAATCATCTTTTTAAAGTGAACGTCATAACAAATAATTAAATAACCTGTGTTTTTTCCCAACTCTACCAGAAATTTATGCCGTATCTTAGTTTTTTTATGGTCAGAAACAGGATCGACAAAGAAGACTTTTGAAAAGTCTCAATCCGTAAGATTCCCATCTGTACGGGGCGACTGATTTTTTTACAATGAATCCGGTTCCAGTACTGATATCCGCTTATGAATAATTAGTTTAAAAAACTAATTATGAGTCAGGTTTCAGTCACACAGTATTTTGAGAATACGATAATAGTAATAGAATGAAAAATGATTCTAATGAATGTCGCGTTCAAAATTAAAATAAAAAGATCTCTGAAATAGTGAGAAACTGTTAGAACCAGTTCACTCAGAAAAAAAATGCAACTGTGAAACAAAAATATCAAAAAAGACGTAGGAAACGGTTTTCTCTGCTCAGTTTCAACTTTTTGACGATTTCTTAAAATCCATTTGTATCTGTTTTGTTTATATTTTTTAATAAACAGCTTTGGAGAGACCAGTAAAATGAATGGTGTGTAATTATCTTTGTGTTTTTCTTTGTTTCGTTCACTCAGTCAGACTTTTTCGTTGCTCGGTTATTAATAACCAAAATAATAAATATTGAAAGGTGAAAACCTATGATTTTTCGCAAATAAAGTAAGTGACACTGTCGTATTTTCTTCCTGGTTTCGAAACAAGGGTTCCTGATTTTTCTCCTGATTTCGTAGCAGAAGTCTCCTTATCAACTTCTGTTTTTTAACCCAAAAACCGTGATTTTTAAAATTTGAATTTGGTAACCATGACGCGAACTTTCACACGACTCACTCTCACACCCACACCCTGAATCAAAGAATTTTTGTGATTAGAAGTGTAATGATTTCATCATCCCGAAGTTCTTCTTTTATTATAAAAAAAGACGCAATAAAAATGACTCCCTTTACTACATTTGATTGGTTGCTTTCATTTGCACACAAAAAATGGTAAATAGATACGGAGTAGTATAGTGTGTTGACCGTCAACAGTTTTTTTTCAGTTTAATAACACAAAATCAATATGCAGGCGAATTGAGGATAAGAAAGCAAATATTGATAACTATCTTAACGAAAAATGTGACTTTAGATAATAAATTACAAACTACCTACGATAATCTGCTTCTGTTTACGGTATATGTGGCTGAGGGCGACTGTAAGATCGTGCGCGTGGGTGTGGGTGGGTGTCGATGGATGCGGTTAATCGTGGCAATGTAGTTAGGTTTAACGTCAAGAGAATGTCAACATCACACCCACCCACACCCTAATCAGTAATAGCTACTGTGGGTGTGGGGGTCGGTGCCATTGAAGAAAGAACATCTTCAAACACACACACCCACACCCCGCCTTCGTTAAGTATACGCTACTTCTCAAAAACAGCGGGTTTTATATAGTTTGATCGAATGTTTCTGGATTCGAGAAATCAGAATGCACCATTGGCTTTTGAAACTTTCGATTTTATTTTTCATCAATACTAACAGTGCTACAGATAGTATCAACACCAATACTCCATGAGGAGCCTCAGACATCTCTTATAAGTAGTTCATGAGAGGCCTGAGATGCACCTATAGATAGGCATTAATGGGTTTCAGTGACCCTTGATATATAGGGCTTGAGGCTCCTAGGTATCTCCGATACTGAGACTTATGGATCGAAGGTACATCTCCTAAGGTCTCTTTAAGGAAAGCAGAGAAATCCTACGTCTTACTAGTGTTTGATCAGTTCTTGATCGACCTGGAGTGTAGGGCGCAGTACGAGTGGAGTACGAACTCCCGGAGTCTTGCGTTTTCCCTTTTGCTCTAGGTGCTGATAATGTTTTGAAAATCAGATATTTATATTCATGCTACGGCGCCGGCTAAAAAATCTTTAAAATTTCCCACTCATACGCCGCGACTGCGGTTCAGCTGCTTCACTTGCATCTTCAAACCTATATACATACAGAAAAGAAAAATATTACAACTTTTTGTTTACATTAACGCGTAAGCGTTGAAAACGTTATCCTCGTGAAATATATTTCATGACAATACAACGCCGTCATTTGGTATTCTTTTCTTCCTCGTCGGTTATGCATCTGGGAAAATTCCAAGCACACGCAGCCACACTGCATCAAAAAAGAAGGCTTCATATACACGGTGGACCATAAATAACAAAGCGATAAGAAACTTAAATATCTCTACTTCGGCTGCGTCAAATGGGCTGATCTCTCGGTTATCGATAGAAATATACACAGTTGTTTTGATATTTATAATGTAAGTAAATATTGCTATAAGGTATTAACGCTGGTCTCATGAAAGAAATTTTAAGTATTGCCAGCTAAGAACAATACATGTGAAACATTTTGTGAATAATTTCTATTTGTTATCTGAGAGAGTGATCAGAAGGAATCAAAACAATTTTTATGGGTGGCTTTACGTTGATGCACATAGACAAAATTTCCAACAGTGGTTCGTTTAAAAATCAACAGTTATAATATTTCCAACTTTCGCCGGAAATTTGCTGATTTGATACTAGTGGTGGTACTTTATCTTTATTTTACTTTATAATAAAGAATAAAGTAACAAAAATCTTTATCTTTATTTCACCAAGAATGACTATAAAAAATAAAGTAAATCTTTATACTTATTTTCGAAAATAAAGGTAAAATAAAAAATAAAGATTTTTCGTCTATCGAAGCGTACTTTTTTTATTTTCTTAGAGTAGCTTACAAAAAATTATGAGATTATATAGTTAACTATAATATGGAATAGCATTTTTCGTGTATATCGTTTCTTGTGTGATCCTTTTTTTGATGATATGGTTTATGGAAGTGATGCTAATGGTAAGAAAGACCATTAATAAACGTATTCCGTTGTTATACAGGGTATTTGCATATGTACTTACTCCATGAAAAAATATATCTTTATTTTCAAAATAAAGACTATCTTTATTTTTTATATAATAAAGATAAAGTAAATCTTCATCTTTATTAATAAAGTAAAGATAAAGTGACACCCCTATTTGGTACCTGAACGTTTGGATTGTGGTTTTTAGTTGTTGGACGAGAGTTTCAGCATTTACACTAACTAGTTTTAAAAATTTTCTCTATGTACATCAATGCGAAATCACATAAAAAGTTTGCTTTGATTTCATTTTGTTATTTTTTCACATAACAAGTAGAAATAATCCACAATATGCTTCGCATAGATTTTTCGTACTTGGCAATAGGTAAAATTTCTTTTATGAGGCCAACCTTAATACCTTATTGCAGTATTTACTTACGCCATCAGTACGAAAAACATTTTTGTATAAAGTTCTACTAGTAACCAAACAGTCAACTCATTTGGTCGAACCGGCGTGGAGATATTGAAATTTCTTATCGCCGTGTTATGTATGCCTCACCCTGTATATATGACTTCCTTTGAAGTATATAACTGTTAGTATTTGTAGAAACTATTGTTTGTGTATAAAATTGCAATCAAAAAGTAAGCATCGTTATAGTCCTATGCGACGGTGATTTTTTTACATTTTAATGTAATTAATTTGCTGGTAGGATGCAGTCTCTATCACCTGACGCCGACGAGTTTGTACCATCTACTACACGATTTCATTCACAACCGAATGGGTATTCAGAAGCTCAATCTCATTTATATCATGGATTCGATACTAACTTTTTGCAGCAACAGTGGATCTGTGGAACAGGAGATTTTGTTACTCCCCATACTGTATGCGTACCTACATTTATCCCTTATGAATTTGGATATAATACATCGTATGCACCGTATTATTATTACTCTCCAGCGTTGACTACACATGCGATGACCACAGACAACACAAACGTTAATGTATACCAGGATTTTCGTCTATTCCAAGATCAGCCAACCGATTTTACCGATAACTTGGTATCTCGCGGGTTATCGGATAATGGATCATCGCTAACTAATATCTTATTAGCAAACAACCAAGATCAGCTCTCACACAATCAACTTCAACTTCCGTCATCCAATGAAATTACCTTCACTGTATCGTTTGCAGAATCCAAAGGATTTGTTATGAATGACGACGCATCGACCGAACTTCGCCAGCTGATCGTCGATCGTCTGAATACTGTGTGGTCATTTCCATCAGCAGTCATCGGTGAAAAATTAAACCAGAACTGTCTTATAAAATTGACTGTGGATAAAAATGGATATTATCAAAAAGATGAAGTTTTCCAGTCGTCTCAGAACATGAATTTTGACGCGGCAGTGCAGGATACTTTACAACAATATGCTGTACGTTTTCCTTCATATTATGCTACTTCAAACAGCCAGATTGATATTCCAAGCAATAATACTGTATCATCAGTTATTCATGATGTTGTTGCAAACAAAGAAGGTATTACATTAATTTGGTATGGCGAAAAAATTAATGAACTCAGTGATAAATTGCAGAATATCAGCAATTTTTTCCTAATATATTCCATCTCCGACAAATTTAAGTGCGTTCAATATATAAATTCAGTACGTAAAGAGAAAATACTTTTAGTACTTTCAAACGTGTTCGAAAGAGACATACTTTCTCATATACAGCCCGATGAAACTCGACCCTTACCAAGACATATTGACAGCATATTCATATATCGCGCAAATAACAAAGAAAAGTTTGAAAATTTACCATCACAGTATTATCAAAAAGTGGTTGATATTTTTGAGTCTGAAACTTTATTATTAGATAGTATTAGACATAATCAAAGAATGGCAGAAAAGCACATGATTATATTCAGTAAATATAATTCCAGCAGACAGTACATGCGTAATTTAAAAACTCAATCGACGGATCTTCAATGGACACAATTAATTAATGATATCTTAATAAAAATTCCATCAAGCGATGACGCAAAAAAATTGATGTTAGACACGTGTCGGGACTACTATCGTGGTAATAAAAAAATGTTGCAGAACATTGACGAGTTCGAAAATGCTTACACTCCAGAAACAGCAATCCAATGGTACACACGACAAGACTTCGTTTATAAGCTCGTTAATAAAGCACTTTACACAGAAGATCCTATTGGATTAATTTTATTTCGATTTTATGTATCGGAGCTATGTAGACAAATAAATACTGAGCACAAGAAATTCGTGCGAACACTTAATTGCCCAATTTTACGACTATATCGGGGCATAATGATGACGACGGTTGATGTTGACGCAATCGCACAACTATCTGGTCAACTGGTATCAACATCGACCTTTCTCTCGACAACACGAGACAAGAAAGTGGCAGAATACTATGCTGATGTTGGGAGTTCGTCTAAAAAACCTAGTGAAAAGGCCTCTGTAATTTATGTGATGCAGGTGGACATACGGATACGCTCGATTGTACTTGCTGATGTGTCAAAATACAGTGAGATGCCAGACGAAGCGGAAGTACTTTTCATTCCAGGAGCGATCTTTCGAATCGATAGCGTCACCTACACTAAATTACATAACTATTGGGTGATTCGAATGACCGGTGTCGATAAAAACACTATTGAAACTAGTAACATTATTAAACAATATGCACAAAGAATAAGTACACAAAACGGAAATATTATTCGGGTTGGGCGCGTTTTACTTGAGATGCATGAGGCAAAAAAAGCGCAGACATATTTGGAAGAGTTATTACTGGATCATAAATTTAACAAAAGTGATCAGGCTGTAATTCACAATTTACTTGCATGCAGTATGGATGAACAATGCTGTCATAATGAAGATTGCTCAGAACAAATGAGAGAACAGTTAGAATTTCAGATATCGGAACATTTTTGGAAATCGTACCGCTTATTCATTGAAATTAAGGATGTTGCACAGTCGGACCTCGTTTTGAGTAATATCATTGGAACTCACTTGCAACGTCAAGATTTCGACAGAGCGATGTGCTACAGTATCATGGCTTTAAGTATGAAAAAAAAATCTTATCCCAACAAGCCGTATATGTATATTGGTGTACTGGAACAAATCGCAAGAATTTATCATTTCAAAGACGATCTAAATGAGGCATGTCATTGTTATGAATACATATTACAAATGCGACGAAAATATGTACCTCAGGAGCAATATAAGATTGCAATGACTCTGATCACACTTGGTGATCTGAACTCTATATATACACTAAAGTATATCGAGTCATCGAAATATTACATGGATGCACTAGATCTGAGTAAGTCCTTAAATAATACAGAATTAAAGATTAACGTACTCTCGAAACTAAGTAAGCTAAATCTAATCAATTTGAGAAATGCGACTTTAGCACTCAAGTATAAATCTGAACAGCTGAACGAAGAACGAATGGTTCGACACTCAGGAGATCCTTATATCGCCGAGTGTTTGATTGATATCACTGCTATTATACTGCAACAACGTCGTCAGCAATATCCTAGGTGTAATAATCAAATTGATTCAGCTTTCAAACATGCGATCGACGGCTTGGATGTGTGTAAAAGATCGTTTAAAGCAACTGCGGCTGATATCGTACGATTGTTGAGACGTATAGCTGGTCTATACAAGTATGAAAACAGATGGACTCAAGCTGAATTCTTTCTGTTGGAAGCATTACAATTGTGTGACAAAGCTCAGCTTCATGACGAGCTTAAAGTAGAAATATTAGACGAATTGAAAGATGTCAGGCACTTTACGAACAGTAGTTTACTAGAAGACTACATTACAAAAGCAAACGCTTCAAGCAACAATCAAGCTCTTCAGTCAAATGAACAGCAGAAAGAGCCAAAGAAAGTTATGAAATTAAACAGAGAAAGTTATAACTCCAGTAGTTTGAGTAAAAAAGATGTATCAATGCTCCTTATGTTAAGTGAAAATATGAGTTATGAGCAAGAAAAGAAAACAATTGAAATCAAACACAAATTTATTCGTAAACAAATTCTAGAAACAAAACTAAATGGTGACAGTCTGTCGAGTTATGTTAAGCGGCAGCTAGATGATTATAACTATTATGCCAAACGTGCTATAGAACAACACTATACATCTAGACGGAAACAGCAACAACAAAAACATGCTACGTTTAATCGAGAATATGCACCATCTAGAAAACGTCATTCAGGAACATTGGCGTCTTCATTGATTACTTTAGTGTGTCTCTGTGACCCAAGTTTCCCACTAAATCATCCAGAAAGCAATACAGACGACTTTGACACAATGGATAGTATCTGGCGCGTATTATCCAATGATTTGAAGGGTTTTGTTTGTAACGCAAATGATTTAATAGATACGAATTACTCATATGACTGTCACGCTGACCAAAGGGGTGCATTGCGCCGCCATCGTATTGAAATATTTAAGCAAAGACAAAGTCGAAAAATCGGTAACGGAATGTCATCAGCGCAGAAAATATGTAATGTTAATCCATCCGCACTCATTCAGTGGAATAATGATCACTCATCAAATAAACTAAAACACATGTATCCAATCAGTTATTTCAGGCGAACCGTTCTTCTTCTTCCTGAAAGTCTTACTAATACAAAGTATGCACCATCTCATGTACTGGTAGATCAAGATATCGAGCAATCAAAGCAAGAATCTGACATTGGTCAGCAACCGTATTGCCAGAAAGAATTATTTTGCAAAGCAGAAGCAAACTACAAGCAAGGCATGGAATCCGAATACGAAACGGAATCGAAGCAAAGTTCAGAATCTGAAAACAAAACAGATTCAGAAAATGAAACGGAATTGGAGCAAAGTTCAGGATCTGAAAACGAAACAGATTCAGAAAATGAAACGGAATTGGAGCAAAGCTCAGGATCTGAAAACGAAACAGATTTAGAAAATGAAACGGAATTCATGGGCCATTCTATAAGGTCAAAACTTGCCGACAAAGTCTGTATTCTTCCATCAATAAACGAGACACAACGATCCTTCGACGTAAGTAGAAAAGTCAATATTATGTCAGGTCACTATTTCAAAACGTGCAAGAATGACTGGGGCCATCTTATATAAACGCTAGGAAAACCATTTGCTTAGTGTCCGATCCAGTTTCGATCGGCTCCTGTTTCAATCAAGATTTTTTGGAGGTGAGAGTGGATGTGAGTGTGGGAGTAGACGTCTCTACTTCAATCATATCTATACCCTACCTACACCCATACCTACCCAGCCATAGTCATACATCGAATTCCGATGTCGAAAATCTAGCCGACGCGTTTTCGTTTATCGTCTAATACAGAATCTTAGCCAGTATTGTAATGCTTTCTTAACAATGAGCCGGTTGAGACTAAGGCACCTAATTAATTAGCATATACGTTCTAAATAATAGTGATACACAGTATTGATATTCTAATGTTCATATTAAATCAGCAGCGATTTGATTATTTATGATATTTTAGCTATTCTTCAAATACGATTTTATCGGCAGTATAAATTCTTTTGGTTCCACCTTTTCAACCAACGACAGGTTGACATCAACCTATTCGCGTAATATTTTTGACGATCTGTATCTGCCAAGATTTTCCCTATATCCATTATTGCCACGCTGCCCGACTCCAATGTTCTTGAATTACAATATACCAAACAATTATGTGATGCTCACAACGCGTTATTCCTACAAAGACAAGAATCATCAAAGAACAAGTAAGGCACATAGGCAAAATCTCAAAGGGAACGCAAAATTACCTTTTCAACATGTAAAAATGAAACAAAACTTTAATTATTTTCGATCGCGTCGCTTATGTTAACGCTGTATACTATAACCCATCATCAACCTACCTATGATTTTGATGTGAACGTTTTGTCGTCGTATTATGTGTTTTTAGTGTTTTCCTTGCTCTGTACGCCTATTTGATTGATCTTTTCTTTCCTATATACTCTCCATGGATGTGGACCACTCAAACTGGGTGTGGGATGTGGGGTGTGGGTGTGGGTGGGTGGGTGTGAGTATGGATATGGGTGAATGGATGTGCGTGATATTAGAGTAACATTACTCACACCCACATCTACACCCTCAAGATTGCTGATCCTTCTGCAAAAAGCAATGTCAGCCCAGGCACATTCAAATTGTGTGACATTTTCAGGACATATTGCGACTGAAGTGGGAGACTATGGTAAATGTATTAGCTCTGTGCATGGACGAATTTAAGGGACGGATTACTATAGGTGATGGAACTCTGAAGTAGAGTGAGACATGAGTTTCATCCAAATTTAGCGTCTGTATGCTTGGCCTCGTCCAAATTATGAATTCGATGTTTTTTCGCACGATGGCTTACACTTATTTTTGAAACGATTATTATTTCCGTGCGACAATTTGAATATATGAGCCCCTCGGCACATTAGAAAACCCAGAATGCTCTATTCCATGTTACCATTCAGAGATACTAAGGGCTCTTCTATCATATGCCTAAAAAAGCCAAATTTTTTGATAATCTCGACAAAAAATCCTAATTTCAATCATTTGTCTAACATACCGTTGGCAAATGAATGTATTTTATTTATTCCCTGTTTGTAGAATAGAAAAGAAACGGATAATATTTCAATACAAAAAAATGAATACAATCGATAATTAGAAGAGTGTTTTGAAAACAATACAGGCAACATACCCTAAAATTTTGATGCAATTTATGATAGCACTGTTTTTTAAAGAATATAATCTGTCGCTACTCCTATTTATATTCGGTATAGTTACATTCCCTAATAAAAGTTTTCTCTTTTCTTTTTCTGTGCTCTCATACTATGCATCAAATTTAT